TTAGAGTTCTACTACATGTACTTTTAAATCTTACTCTTTCAATTTTATTTCCTGATGTGGCCGGCTCTGATAAGCTATTTTTTTTCATGTGAGTCTCAATACAAGTGTTTACATTAAGATTTTGTGTATGAGAGTAAAAGTTGGAATAAAAAGTGAAAGTACATAATATTTTCCTAAAAGTTATGATCACGTTTTATTATTGTTAACACTCTCTCAGTCAAGCTCTTCACATCGGGTCTTCTTGATATGATTTACTTCTCTGGTGTGATTTGTCACATTAGTTCCTTTAGAAATGAGAGAATGAGTGGTGTTCAATGTGGACCAAATTTTTACTCTTGACTTAACTTTTATGATAGAGTTAGGGTTTTGTAAAGTTTTGGTAGGCATGCACTTGGTGTTCTCAAGCTCGTTGACGAAAAGAGCACACAATATGGGTAGGGGTGTTAGCGAACAGAGCTTTCGGTAAATCACTCGTGTTCGTGTTCAGTAAGCGTTCGTTTATTAAGATAAACTAACATTAACAAACAAAATTTAGAGTTTGATTTATAAACGAACAGAGTCTGAACAATTGTAAGCTCGTTTGCTAAGAGATCGTGAACAAGCTCGTTTTTGTTTGTTTAATAATGTTCGCGAACAAGCTCGTTTAGTATTCGTTTAATAATGTTCGTGAACAAGTTTGTTTGTGTTCGTTTAATGTTTGTCTGTATTCTTTTTGTAGTTGTGTTACTTGTTTGGTTATTTTTCGTGTACATATATTATTTATTGTTCACGAAGGAATTTTGATCATGAACATGTTCATATGTATGGTTATTAAGCATTCACGAACATGTTTATGAACGTAAACGAACAGGTTCATGAACGTGTTCGCGAACGTTAACAAACACTAATGAATGCTTAACAAACAAACACGAACATGATTTTCAAAAACCTTAACAAACGAACATGAACACAAATACTCCAAAAACCTTAACAAACGAACACGAACAACCTCCGTTCGTTTATGTTCGGTTCGTTAACAGCCCTAAATATGGGCTACCACGGACGTCGTCTTCACCTTGAGTGCTTATTATTAACAAATACATTTTTTTGTGACAAGAAAAATTTGCTACCACCACCGGAGAGTGTGTACTGGGCTTAGGTAAACCCCACTCTTATGTAATAGCATACAAACCACATAAAAGATGCAAATCATCCTAACTAGAAAAACTTAATGCAAAGGACTTAATTGACAGGAAGAGTATTTCCAAGAATTAAACTCATCCTTTTCCACATTAAACTGGTATTATATATCTCGTGAAATATGACAATCCAATTGAGTCTCGATTACATACCATTCAAAATACTTCTTCATTCTAAATGTATTCTCACACAATAAATACTTCTTTAATATACTTGAATCGCTAAAACATTACATCAAATTATAGGGTTTGAATCATCCTTAAATGCACCCGACATGAATTTAAGGTTCCCAATCAATATAATTAATGCACATTTTCACATACACACTCCTAAGTCTCATATATTACCATATCACGTGTTGTCTTAGGTGCATGGTTCAGCCCAATTATATGCGTCGCATGTACCCGTAGACTTGTTTCCCACGTGACTGCATTACGCAAATAGGTTAAAATGTTTGAATATTACACACCAAATTTTCAGATATACTATATATACAACGTTAGAGAAGACCAAGACCAAACAATAATATGAACTTCACGTGTTTAATAAGCCTCAAAATCATATCATATGATATCCACACAAATTTTCCTCCTACATGTGATAACGCATCACCTATACAGCTAGCTCAGTCCTGATGCAAAGTCTCTTTTACTCAATTGAGCGTAGCATGTCATGTTAGAGTGTTAGATACATATATATTTAGGGGTGGTAGAAATTATAGTCAAACTAGCTCAAATAATGGAGGGGATGGATATATATGATAAAATTCTTCAACAACTTTGGCTAGCTAAAACTCCTCTAAGCTACAACAAGATATGTTTGACTACACTAAAGTGGGCCAAATTTGTATCTTTTCGTTGAAATTATCAAAATGTCTCTAGCTGAGTTATATGTGGCAGATGGAGGACACATTCATACATTTGGAATAATTTGAATAATACGTATAGAACAGTTCAAATATAAAACACATTATTAGCTGGACTTTTGTTCAAGTACAAAACACATGAAAATGGAATATCGTTATAGTTTTGAAAATTAGAAAACATCAAGACAATATATTAGTCAAGTAGAAATCATATATAAGTTGTGACTTGTTCATAAAAATTGAATCTCAAATTACATTCAACGTTCCAACACAAATAATGCACAACTAATCATTCAACATTTCACCCCCAAGCCCTCGACAATTAAATTATCAACTTAATTTTAAAATAATCAAAATAGCACTAATAAATATAGTACAATACAATTATACGAACTTTTTTCTTATAAAATCATATAAATTAAAATAGTAGAGTATGTATTACCTTAAAGAGTTGGGATTGAACCTTATATTTTTTTAATAGTCCGCAAACAATATTAAGAATATGGATAATATAAATCACTCTAAAAGACATTGTCGTTGTGTAATAGGTTTGACCGGAAGAGTGTTGACAATAATTGAATACATAACGTTATAGTACAAAATCAGACTCCACTCATTTAGTCACCTATTTTGGGTTGTTTAATTTTAATGCAGCTCATACTATGAAGAGATTAGTTAGCATCTGAATTGTTCACATTTGTGGTTATACATGTATGGAGTATTTATAACAAGCTAGGATGTAATTAATACAATGTAATTAATTAATGTCCTACCTGTGTAAAAGTAGTTAAATAACAGTCATATTCTCGTTGGACACGAATCCTATGGGTAGCTAACAACAAAAAGAAAAATGGGGTTGGGCAGAGCTAGTTTTGTGAGAGTCATTTTCAATCAAGTGCCACGTCACTACTGAGTTAGTAAACGGTGGTTACAGCCATGGAGGAATATATACACACAGTCAATTTCCACCGGTAAAATGTCGGCACGTCACCGCACCGGACCCAGCTATACATTCCGGTGACAGCGCAGCTACCGTCCATTAATCTTCTTTCTCGATACCCATGCACAGCGCCATGCCAGGTCATCGTCATGTAATATTCTGATTGGTCCAGCAAAGAATATAATGCCGCGTTGGAGCATTGCTTCTATTTTTTCTTGTTATTTTAGCACTAATCAAGGAACTTAGTCATGTTCTTTGGACTTCACAACGTTGTCGATCATCGTTAGATCACCTTTATTCCCCTTTATTCCCATGTAGGATTGGGGCGGAAGCACTTGGAGTATAGAAATTTTGCCTTTTGTGAGTAAAATTAACGATAGAATCGGTCAATATTATTATACAACTAAGATAACTTCACTATCAGGATATATTCAGGAGTAGCCTTTACAGTGTAACTGCAATATGAGAGTTTCACCTTCTTGTGGGGCTGACTCCTCGTAAGAACTAAGCATCCGCCCTCCTATCCTAATAGAACACTGAGTCAACATGATTTACCATACAAGATCAGTTGGAACCTGAATGTGAAAATCTTTGGGACAAGCGATTTCGACTTTAATTTGTGTGTAAGATAACTTCACTATAGTTTTAATAACCATGGTTTTGTCAACCATCATCACTAATGGGCAATTGAAGTTAAGGTAAATGCTTAGTGACGGCTTTGTCAACTGTTTTTAATTATACAATTAATAGTTGTCAATAATAGTCTTGATTTTAAAGAATGATGATTCAAAATGTTATATATTTTTGTAATAATAATAATAATTTTTTAAGGGAAAATGACACTTTTTCCCCCTATGTTATATACTTATAGCACTTTTTCCCCCTCAATTATTTATGTAAGCACATTAGCCCCCTCAATTATTTTAAAAGTGGTGGTTTTTCCCCCTAATATATTAAATTGACATTTCTACCCTTAAAGTAAACATTTTATTTATTTTACTTCTCCAACAAATTATTGCGTATATGTAGCTATTACCACGGTTCGGTTCGAACTGAACCAGACACTATAGCAATCGAATTAAAAGTTTTCAGTTATGATTCAGATCTAGAACCCAATATTTGGATTTCAATTTATTAAATTTAAGAATAAAAAAAAAATTGGATCATGAACCGGCGATTCCGGATCCCGTTCGCGATTTTGAACTGTCTATATTTTAAAATTTTGTTTTTTATTTTAAAATAGTTTAAATTCAACAATAAATGTATTTTATTTTTTCAGTTCGGAACATGAACCGGCCATTCCAATTCGCGATTTTAATAAACTCTAAATATCGCGTTTTGATTATAAATTGTAATTGGAATATTTTGGTTTGGTTACTATAGTATCTGGTTTGAACCAAATTATAGTAATAATTTATTGGAGAATAAAAATAAATGAAATATTTATTTTAAGGGTAAATATGTCCATTTAACATTTCAGGGGGAAAAAGAGCCACTTAAATAATTGAGGGGGGAAAAATGCTATAAGTATATAACATAGGGGGAAAAAGTGTCATTTTCTCATTTTTTAATTTATATAACTTTTGAGCTTTTGACAAAAATTAGTCTACCTTTTCGACTACCCATCCACTAGCTACCTTATCTTTGCTAAAAACTAAAGAGATTTGTTCATTTAATAACATTTTTAGTTTAACATTAAATATTGTAATTACCAAATCAATTCCTCAACCAATTTTTCTGAGACTATATCTCTTTTTAATATTATTTTCCATTAATATACATTAGACGTTAGTAGTTAATTATATTATTTTAGTTGACAAATATAAATCTTGATATTAGGCATAAATATATTTTAATTTTTTTTCCTTTTATATTGGGCAAAAATAAAGAGGATAAGTTTTAATTTTTAAATATTTATGCCCCGATAATGACGTTGGGCAGCGTTATCATGACGTCAATGGTGGACGTCTAAAGTCTGTATACATTTTCTTTCCTATATATATATCAACCGCATCTGACTAAATCCACAATAATATTCCAAACTCCACCAGCGACTTTGGACTCTTCACACACAAGATTCCCACCACCACCTCAGCCGCTCCCGGCCACCACCACCACCGAAATGGGATACAGTACTGATAAGAGAACCACCACCACCACTTCACACCTGACATCTTCCCCTTCTTCTCCCTCATCCTCCGCAGTTAGTGGCGGCGGCTGTGTTGGATCCCCGGCGAGCCCCGCTCCTCCGTCCCCTCCGCCGGTCATTCTCACTCCCTGCGCCGCGTGCAGGATTCTCCGGCGGAGATGCGTCGACCGGTGCGTGTTGGCGCCCTACTTCCCGCCTACCGACCCCCTCAAGTTCACCATCGCCCACCGCGTCTTTGGCGCCAGCAACATCATCAAAATGCTACAGGTAATAAAGGATTTCATCTTTTATATATGGACAAATTAAAGGAACATAATTTTCCATTTTTTAATACTTTATTCTCTTCCCATTTAACACGAAAAGACCAGACAAATTAAACTTCTCTTTTCCACATTCCAATTGCAAAATGTGATACTTTAATTTTAACTTAATTTATTCACTCTCTCCAGCATAATATAAAATATAAATGTACAGTCCAACTATCAGCTTAACCCGTTCATACCTAATATTTCAGGAACTGGCGGAGGATCAGAGAGCGGATGCAGTGAACAGCATGGTGTACGAGGCGGGCGCGAGGATCAGAGATCCGGTGTACGGTTGCGCGGGGGCGATTTGCCAGCTGCAGAAGCAAATGAGCGAGCTGCAGGCGGAGTTAGCTAAGGCGCAGGCGGAGATCTTGAATCTGCAGTGCCAAAACACGAACCTCAAAACCCTAGTCTGCATGCAAATGGCGTCGTCGTCGTCGCAGCAGCAACAACGTCATCATCACGACAACCTCTCCTCGCCGGTACAAGAACACCTGTCGTCGTACGAAAGCGGCAGCAGCTTCCTTCTAGAAGATTGCAGTTTTTCATCGGACATTCTGGAACCAATGCTCTGGGGATGAAGAAGACTGTTCAGATGATCAGAATTGAAGGCCTAGGGATCGGAGAATATATATATATATTTTTGCAAAAAACAATAATTTACAGAGAGATCGATGGAGAAGCTAAGGATTAAATTTTACTTACTTAATTTCGTCATTAGAGAGGCTAAAGCCATCTTAATGTCATGATCAACGGAGGGCATGCATCCATGACTGAAGCAGTCAAAGCAGCAGCTGATGCCATTTAATTACAATATTTTCTACATATATTACTGATGAAGAATACTATTTTTACCATCAACAACTGAAAGATTACAATATATTTCTTTTTTTGTTTTGTTTTTGTTTTTTTGTACGAGTAAAATTTGCATTATTTAACTACACACCCTTTAAATCCCGCTTTTGTATAATATATATAATATCTGTTGACTTTCTTGAGAAATTATAGTACTCCCTTTCAAATTTGTTGTTCAACTTCCATGCTGCTCTATACTGACTTGCAGAGAAGAAAAAGCAGGAAACTGAAAAGGACAGACTCCACAGTAGACGGCAGTGCATGTGTAAATGGAAAAAGATTCTGATTAGGATTATTAGATCAGATCAAGCATGTATACACCACCTAATACGTGTAAAAGGTTTCAGGAAATGTCGTCTGCTTTGTTGTTTTTTTTTTTTTTTTTTTTTTTTTTAAGAAAAAGTTCATCAGTGTGAGACACGTGTACTAAGATGGAATATATCTGCGCAAATACAAAACATCATCACTACTTTTTGTCCGCAAACACTTTGGGAATTATGTAAAACACGACAAGCTCTCCAATGGGCGCAGCTGTTATAATATCAATTATATATGAAGTAATTCTAGTCAAGTTAATTAGACAATTAATTTATTACTAATTATAAAATTTTAAGCTTGAGTTGTCTATTAGTCTTCATAATTTAATCTGATTACTTATATGGATAACCTAATATCAGTTTATTTTCTTATAATCCTTGACAGACGAATGTCATAAGACGAATTTCACTTTTTAATAACGTTTGTAAATTTTTTCGTAAATTAAAGTATGACAAGCTGATCAGTACATCAAATACCAATTGTCAGTTAAAGTTTATACTAAGCCAAAACTATGTAGCGATTAATTCCGACTTTATATTTCATCACAAGCATGTATCTCAGTTGAGCTAGCGTGCGCCGTGCACGGTAAACAACGTCTCGTTAAAGGCTACTTGGGACGTACTAAAGCTAACATTAAATAGTTTAATAATCTATGGTAATAGAAAATCTAAGTCAAAGTCAGAAATCAACGAAAATATATGACTATGGGTCGTTAGAATGAAGCCGACCTCTATGTATTAACCAAGTTTCTTGATTGATAATTGGATAATTGTATTGACTTTCATTTCTTCCCCATTTTATAGGTTAACAAAGCTCCCTGTGGGCCCATTTAAAAAGTATAATAATACAATTTACACGGTCAAGTTAAATTTTGTATAATATTTTACAGCGAGACAAACAGATGCATCCCCACCTTCGTATACATATTGTGGATTCAATTTTGGACTAAATTATCACAGAGGTGAAACTTTGGAAGAATGACCAGAGATCGAATCTCACCAACGGCAGTGTGGGAACAACCTCTCAAAGTGAGGGGGTTCTTTGTGCGCAGTGAGCACCAGTCTAGCCTCCGTGGTTCATGTTCAGTTGAGTTACCATAATTTACATCCTCCCAAATGCTCTGTCGGGTCGGAGCGTGGGGGCCCTTAGGGTTGGGGTTCAGCCTTTTGGACTAAATTAAACATAACAATTCCTATTGTTTTAGGCAGGGTTGCATGCATATATGTTGCAAACTTCACAACCCATATAAGTTATAACTAGACATAAACAAGGTCATGATCTGCCAGAACAGTTGACAAAATGTCCATTTAAGTAAGCTGCCTAAATTAAACCCTAAATTTTCCACAAACGTTTTAGTCAAGCTAAGGAGGCTGAGCTCTGAAACAATTTCTTTCTAGATTATATTAATGCGATATAATTAAAAATAATTTTAGCAAGATTTTAATTAGTATATGTAATATTCTATTATTCTAACATTTACTGCGCTACATCGCATGATATATATGGAATTACACGAATATCATATAAGTTTTTGGTCTGAGTTGAGAGTTGATGAGTGCTTGACGGTTCATTGCGCATAACGAATGAATTAATAAAAAAATAAAATTCCGAACTGTTAATATTAAACAAGTACGTCAACTATAATTAGACTATTAATTTGGGGTGTCTTTGGAAAGCAAGAAAATGACTTTCGACAAATGAGTCATTTTTCAGAAAATATTTTCCTTTCAAGTGTTTGGTTGCGTTCCAGAAAATTGTGTTGGTGTGTTTAATTCATTTTCTGAAAAATGAGCATAACTATTTTTAATTTTAAATATTTAAAATATACAATGAAGGTGGTGGGGGTGGTGGTGACGGCGACGACGACGGGTCATTGGCTGCTTTACTAATGCAAACGGAAAATGACTTCCCCTAAAAAAAAAAAAAGAAAAGGAGAAGTCATTTTCCAGAAAACCCCTTCTATTTTTCATTGACCACACCCCTATTTTTCATTGACTTCCATTTTCTCCCTCTAGCCAAACACTAGAAACCCAAACTAGAAATCATTTTCCGAATTTTCAAACGCACCCTTGGTTTCAAACAGAACTCAAATGATTAACTAATTCAAAATATTTTCATAAGTTTATTTATTGCTAGCAGCTACATGGTGCAATGCAAGATTGTGTATAAAAATTAGGAGTAAAAGACATTTTTGGTCTTAGACTTATAGTGGCACGGACAATTTTAGTCCTCCTTAAAAAAATCAGACAATTGGTAGACACTCTTATTATGACGAGGACAATTTTGATCCTCCGTCAATATTCCCGTTAGATGTCACGTTTGAGCGAGGGTAATTGCGTCTTTTCAGCAACACACCTCCTTCTCCTTCACTTTGCAACCCTTTTCATTGTCGTTCTCAGCCAGCTATTAGACCCAAAGAGAGATGAAGTTTCAGTGGTCTAAACAATTTCCTTTGGGTTTAATTCAACAATTTCCTTATGCTCTCGGGTTTAATCCTTATGCTCTAAGCAGAGATGGTGCATAATCGCAAAGCAGAGACGATGCAGAATCGCGAAATAGAGACGGTGCGAAATTAGAATCGTGAAGCATGATCGGAGTAGCGATTGCCTGCGAATGGAAATCAATGTATAATTTCTGATACTCTGAGTTCAGCTACGCAAAGGAAACACGAAGGCGCACATCGGATCTCTTGATTCGAGAAATGTTCTCATTAAATTTACAAAGGAAGTAGATTGTGTGAAGGAATTAGCGAAAAATAGAGTGGAAATTGAAGGAAAATGGATATCCTAACTGTCATCATTTCTGCCACTTCTCCGGAGCAGGGCTGGAGGTCGTCGCCGCCATTCATCGCCGGGAAAAGCTCGAACCGGACCGAAAGACGCCTGATGATCTGTCGTTTTTCTACCTTCTGCTCACTGGATCTACCACCTTCGCCCAAGGAAAACAAGAAACGAAGAGAGTGAGGAAAGGTCACTGGAGTGAAGCGTCGAATCTGCTGGGTGTTGCCGTCGTCGTTTGCTGCAGGTCGCTGGACTAAAGAAGCCGAGGACGAGAAAGTGATGGCGGAGGTCCCCGAAGCTGCTACGCCACTAGTTCATTGCTGGGTGGTCGAGAGAGAGAAGGGATGAAGATGGTGACTGCCTGATTCCATGGCCTGCTTCGCCGCCGGAAAACTCCTCGAGGGAGACGAGAGAAAGAGAAACTGCAGAGAGACGTGAGGCAGATGAAAAATTCTTAGGGTTAAAAAGACACAAATACCCCTTCTCAAACGAGGCAGCTAACGGGAGGTGTGACAGAGGACCAAAATTGTCCTCGTCACAATAAGAGTGTCCACAAATTGTCTGATTTTTTTATGGAGGACCAAAATTGTCCGTGCCACTATAACTCTATAAGTATAGGACCAAAAATGTCTTTTACTCAAAAATTAGGGACTTGAAGGTAGGCACAACCACTTTATGTACATAAAAATTAAACAATATTATAAAAACATAAAAATGCACCCGAATAAAATGCCACAAAATGCACCCCATACCAAAAAATGCACCACACATAATGGTGCATTTTCGAACACTATGTCGTGCATTTATGCATACCTAATGGTGTAAATCGCACCGACCACACGGGAAGCTCTGTTCTCACAGAATCTGACCCTAATATATATATATATATATATATATATATATATATATATATATATATATATATAGTTTCAAATGCGGTTGTACGGATTGTACCATTAGGTATGCATAAATGAAACAAGGTAAATTGTAAAAATGCACCACAACCCTGAGACTTGCGGTTATGCATAAATGCATCACAACGTGTTCATAAATATATCAAGGTGAAATGCACAAATATACTACAAAAATGCATCATACCCTAACACATTTTTAAATATGGTGCATTCTTACATACCTAATAGTTAATGGCCGTATGTCCACACTATAAGCCCTACCGGTACAAGAACTAGACCTTATATATGTATGTGTGTTCCTCGTCTACGTAGTATACGTGGTTTTCATCACTGTCCCACTTCCATGAGATTATATTGCTTGTCTCCATCTTCAAATTTCAAATAGTGACATAACATGAACCCATTATTAAAGTTGATTCCTCACTTTAATTGACTACATTTCCATGCCCTCCCTTTACGTTGCACCTACGTATACATGCAAAATAAACCTCTACCCATTAAAATGAATACATTAAGGGAGCTGATTATGAAAAAGTTTACAACTATTATATTATTTAAATATATATTTCAGAGTTTTGAGGAAGCTTAATTTATGACCTTAATTGGTAAAAGGATAAGGAGGTAAACCAATTTAAATAATTGTTCATAATTGACCAATTCAAATCAAGAAGATCAATAATCATCTGCAGCAAGTTGTTAGCTTTGTTGCCTAAAGAATGTGTACTTTAGGATAATATAATATTATTGGATTTTTTAGCATAAAATGACATTGTAAGTGACTATTTTGTGATACAAATATATGTGAGATTTACTCCCAATTTGGGTCGGATCATGATGGTCTCATTATGCCATTTCACTTTGATCATACTATGCATCTGCAGAGAAAGTGAGGTTTGGTGTGAAAATTTGAATCTGTCGATTGTAAAGGTGGGAATGGGACGCCAGGCTTGCGCTTCTGTGCAACACGTACGAATCCATTTCCCTTTTTTTTTTTTTTTTTTTTTTTTTTAAATTCCATTTTTTTATTCCAT